AATTATTGTAAGCTAAGCTTCCCCATAGGGCATAACCTTCGATGAAGAAAGCATTGACCTCAAATCCAAAAATCTGCGTCCCCTGAGTGAACTTAGAGTTGGAATTTTGTTTATTTACAACGACAGCAGGTTCTCAAGCTTGTATCTAACAAACCACCTCAGTGATGTCCTTGCAGGTATTTCAGCGGAGCCCCTCACCGCAACCAGAAGCATTTACTGCTCTTAATCTCTGTTTTTCTTGAGGTCTGCCAGCAAGCATATGGCAATCTAGCAACCATAAATACTGCACCGTATTTTGAAATACGTAGTTCACAATATACAATTTCAACTACAGGAAAACATTTAGAAAGAAAAGAAATACTTTAAGCATTCCTTTGACTAAAGTATTATTCTGATTTCAGCATGTTATTGAAATTAAGATTTTTGTAAATGTTAAATTCATAAAGAAATTGTTTTCCTTACCTTATTTATGACTCTGGTAGAAGTCTTTGAGCAGAAACCCTTCTGCATGCCCACATACTCTAAGATTTTACAGATTTGCTCAGTAAAACGGAGCTTGTAAACAAAGAATAATCCCAAGCACAGAAATATTGTTATCCTTGTCTGCTGCCAGCCATGCTCGATAACATGGACCTTTGAGCTCAAGGACACACACCTTATGTCTTATTTACAAAAACCTAAGGATAGAGACTATGGAAAACTACATATGGTCAGTGCTTTAGCCCACTTCCCTCCACAATATTACAAAAAAAAAAAAAAAAAGAATGAAATAAGGCAAGAGGAAAAATAATATCTTACTTTCGCCTATGTGTTGCTCGTCCATATCCGATCTGCCTGGGAAGGGGAGGTTGGGATGGCAGCTGTTCGCCACAATCCTGTCTTTATTCCGGAGCTTAGCGTTGCCCCAGGGAGCTCCTCCCCACGCCGCTTCCGTGGGCTCCCGGCTTGCAGGAGCAGGAGGAAATACTTGGGTGGCTGAGGCCAGTGTTAGCAGGGAGAAATTCTTACCCCCTCTTGCCATGAGCTCTACACCAGAGCTGTTGCATCTCCGTAGTGCTGCAGATCACAACGCCAATGCACACGACAGGAATGGTATCTCAAGTGAAAGCTGGAGGCCACAGCTTTGAACCAGGCACCTCCTCCAGCCCTGGCCTCTCCCCAGGACAAGGTGGCCTGGCTCAGGTGGAAAAGGATGGGTGACATCCCATCCGACACGGTGGGATGTCATTATCAGCTCCTCAGATAAGATGCTCTGCACATGCAATTAAAAATAGCACTGCACAAAACTATAGGCTGGATGTAAGGTATCTAAAATGTATATATTTCAGCCAGAAAGCAACTGCCTGTTACAAGAGGATTCCCGTGCAGATGCAAAGCCCCTTTCCGGCACGCACAGGAGGCTCCTGCCTACAGCACACACCGTGTGGTGGCAAAGGCGCTTTGGGCAGCGTGGCCACCGCGCTCCCCGTGGCATCGTTGCTGCTCCGGGACCCTGTCTGCAGGTCATAAACTCCGTGGGCCATAGGCCAGCTCGCTGTGCTGCTCCGGACACAGGCTTCTGAAGGGACAGTCATCAGCTAGCACGGGTAGACTAAGAGAAGATGAAAGGAAAAAAGCCTACAAAATATATACACACTAACGTATTTACTGTGGCTTACTCTCCACCACTGATGAGCATATTAATCTTATTTCCCCAGCATGGCTGCTAAGTACTGTACTAAAACTAGGTCACAAATTCAGATCAGATCAGCTGACTCAGCCCAGCAACATCAGACAAAGACTAGTTGCTTTCCTCCCAATCCAATATGATGCAAGTTCTACCCTTTGCAATTTAGAACAGATCCATACATTTTTTCCCCCCAATTAACCTATCAGAACCACACGGAATGAATTAACACTCACACTGAGGGTACATCAATGCTATTGAAGAACACAATGCAATGCATCCTTTCTAAGCAAAATGTACTATATAATGGCTTTTTAGAGTCATTTTTCAGCTCTTGTTTGCAAACTGCAGAGACTAATACATTTCAATGAACCTTTATGCCATACAGCACCATTATCAGATGATTCATGTAAATAACACCTCCCGACAAGTAGCTCTGTGCACGATACCACTCCATTAGATAATAAACTATTCTGTCTTGGGCTCTTAATATACGTAACCAGTCTTCAAAAAAAAGAGCACTCGATCTCCAAAATTGAATAGCTCCTAAAAACGATGCAATCAGCCTGTTGCATGGTTTTCAGTTCTGCCTCTTCCTAGGGGCCAAAGGCTTACAGCTGCTTTATTGCATCCCTCCCAGCAAAATCAGAAGGGTATTTGCTGGACCTCCTTCTCCTCATCATGATCCACGTGTGGTCAGTCACCTGCGACCATCCCTGTTGTTAAGGGGTCGCTGGCAGGTGTTAGTCTCCAGGCTGTGCAATGCTGCAACATCAGCCCCACTATCAGGAATTAGGCATCACTTAAGTGCCCACCAAGATAAGGTGAGGAAAATTGTTCTGGACAAAGAACAAATCAATAAGGCTGTTTTGCTTCTTCCGACTGCTACGTCTCAACGGACACCAGAGTCTTGGATGAATCCCTGGAGGTTCCCATGGGGGGCAGATCACTTGCAATCAGCCTGAGTGACTTAAGAGGTCACTGCTCCTTCAGTCAAATATGATGTTATCCCTTGGTCTGTTTCTGTTTTATCAAGCAGCTCATCCATAACTCCTTTCCCTTCTTGTCCTTCCTGTTCCCAACTTAACCAAAGAAAGGAGGGAGAAAGAGGCTAAGTGAATATACCTTACACAGCCACCGCCCTGGCCTCCTCACATTGGAAGCCAAGGGAGGAAAGTTCTGGCTAATTCCTTTGCTTTATTTCTTTCCACCCACATCACTGCATCTCCTGACTGCATCCAGGGACTCTGTGTCCTGCATCCACTGTCTTCTCCGTGATCTCAGTCAAAGGTTTTGCACGAGCAAGGACTGCCTGGTTTGGCTCTGCCCAAATCACCCGGAGCTCTTTATCAAATCACTTGGCCGAGATCAATAAACAAGCCACACAAACCAACCACAAGGAAGCAAGCAGTGTGACCGCCATTCAGCAAATGGTCAAAGGAGGCTCCAGAAGCTCAGCCAGGGGCCTACGGAGTCAGCTGTGCCCAAAGTTCACATCTCTAAAATCCATAAAAAACATTTATAACCAAGCCTAATTCAGCCTCTAGCATCCGTAACAGTCTCACCTACCTGGAGTTATGTGCTGCTGTGCCTTGTGTTGTCACAACACATCTTCGCAGCCAACAAATTAATCAAAAATGAAGTGTTAACCAAGTCAAAGTATTTGCTATTTTAATTTGGATTTAAGTTTATTCATTGGGAAAGAGGAACCAATTTGACAAGTAGAAGGTGCTCTTCATCTCAGTGCTTTCAAGAAAACCTCTATTGATCATTAGCAGCAAGATAGATGGATTCCAGGGAATATGTTGACTGTCTCCATCAGATCTGGAAATGCCTTGAAGTGACTCTCAGTATCCTCTCCTCTTGAAACATTTACAGTATAACTGTTTGCTAGCCAAAAGAACGCTAGGAAAAATAAATGGCTTCTCATACTACTCATCTTTGACACCTACACCCCTGGTATCTCCTCCCAGGAACACTTGGAAAAGATGGCAAGAATTAAAACGGTGCAGATCAACTCCCCAAACCTCTACATTAATTTGCTGCAGGAAGAAAGTTTTTCTCACAAAGTTACACACAGTTTAGCTCCTGCTTTAAGGAACCTCTCTGCCTTTGACCCCAAACCCTGTGAATCCCTCTGAACATCACCCAAAAAGAGCTCACAAGTAATAGGAATGGCAGAAGATTCCAAAAGATACATTGCATTGACTCTTATTCACCTTAATCTCATATTATTTTCACACCCTTGCCAGAATTGAAGCTTATGAGTAGACAGCAAATTCTCCGTCTTGAAATGTAAAATAGCCATGTGTTCTTACTCTTCCTCCCAGAAGACTGGGTGCATTGCTCTCTTGCTTTTATCATCCCATCAAAGTTTCCAAGCTACTGAGGTGTCCCTGGAACACCCTCGGCCCTGCTCATCTGTTATTCTGGATGTTCAACGCTCAGGACACTGCCTAACGCCAGGTCACTTAAACTGCAATACAGAAGATTCACATGGCAGAAACATTCACAGGACCCCTAAAGAGTTTGTGTTCAAGCCATGCATTTGCATACACAAGTTTAGTAGTCAGATGATTGCTTGTGTTATAAAACTTGTCCCTTTCCAAGAAAAGGCAACTTTTGCATTTGTGCGGTGCATTTATACACATATATATGAATGTACATATGCATACTGTTCATCCTTTCTCTCCCAAAGGAGCAAGAGATATCATTGCTACCCGCTGGCACAAGAGGCCAAGTAACATGAGCCCTCTTCTCATTAACTATCAAATAGAATTGATGTAATTATTCAAAAGAAGCCATTATAGGATTGTGCCCGTCAGGGGCTTGATCCATTTTCCTTTAAATGATTGTAATTTTTTTTTTTTTTTTTTAAACTGGCTTCAGAGAGTGCGGAATAAAGCCATAAATAACATGTTTGTGTAAATTCTCAGAGAGCAATTAAGAGCTTTAAATTTAACAGACTGAAGACATCAACTTAAGAAGAGTCCGTTTTGATCTGTGAAGCTGTCTCAGTCCTCCAAGGGCTCTCACATCAGTGCAGGATGACTTTGCACAACCACACCTTGCTACAAGTCAGACCTGTTGGTGGTAGCACTCACACCCACACTGACCACGGGTAGATGGGAGTATTTTCCACCATCAAGGTGGGCAGCACCATTCACTGTGGACGGGCACAACCAACAGCCCAGCACGTGCCAGCAGCCTGCATGGCTTTGACCAGTAGGCAGCTTGGAAGCCAACTGGTCTACACTTCAACACATCTGACAAAAAAACTCTCCACTGCTCATTTACACTGCTAGACCAGACATCTTTTTATGGAGACACTTACCGTTTTATTGCTTCTTCTTGTTTTCGACGTTTTTCACTCTTTTCTTTCAAGTAAGCCAGGTTTGTTTCGTTCCTCATGCGATCATTCTCTCGAGCAATGTCTGATGCATTCTGTATAACCAAGCCATCGTAGGCCTTCATCCCCATGTCTTCAATATACTGGAGAAAAGCGCCCAAAGTGACCTCCTCCTGATTAGAACCCATCATCTTGCCAGAGATAAAGAACAAAGGAAAGCAGCGTTCCCTGCAGGTTGGAAAAACATTAATACCTTCATCAGGAGGAAACAGCTTATGGTTTGTGACAGCAAAGATTGTATCAGCTGGAATTAGCAGATCTCTATAAGAGAGAACTTTTTAGATAGATAGGAGACTGTCTATCTAAAACACAACAAACAGCTGTTCAGGACATGGAACCATGTTACTATAAAGAGACAAGAGAACATAAAAATCAAGAGCCTCTTTCAAGCAGTGCAGATCCATTCAGTCGGACAAGGTTCAAATCCCACAGATTATGTGCATCATAAGGCTTTATTGCCCCACTTCCCTGTTCCTCGTCCCTTCAGCTGCAGAGGCATCGACTTCTCCAACACTCAGCTTCAACTGAATTGTAAAGGCTTCCATCCAAGGACCACAGGTCACTTTGGCAATTTAGAAAAACCCCACACGAGAGCAGATCACCAGACAAAACTTCTATTCAGCAGGATATTCTGAAGTTCAAGTAGAAAACACCATTTCATTTTTTTTTCAGAATGCAAAAAGGTCAAGTTTCTGCATGTCCAAAATTTGAAAAAACATCTTTCTCTATTTCTTACAGCCCGGAGCCCCAAGCCTTCCTCCCTGCATCTCCCGGGACTCACTGCAGGGAGCCCAGGAGCTCCCCAAAGGCCCTTGTGGCCTCACACTCAGCAGCAGATGTCCGGGCACTGCCAGAGCTCTGCTGCACGGACACATCAGCGAGGATCACAGGAGCCTAGAAGCAAGGTGCGGTTTCAAGCAACGTAGCTAGACCAGCCAGATTTGATAAAAATGGATTGACTATTTATTAAAACAAGTACAAATGCACCTTTAATAGCCCAGGAATGCTATAAGACAGGAATGCTTTATCTTACTGTAAATGCTGGTTGCAGCATCTCTGCTTTAAGGCACCAAAATCTTGAGGTACCTTTGATGCACGTGATGACCATCCACCCCCTCACAGACCCCATCCGACCCTCGTTGATAAACGCTTATAAACGCTGCGAGCTGCCGGCCGCGGGGCTCTGCCCTCCCCCTCGGCCCGTTCCCGGCCGGAGGAGGACGTGGCCCCTCGGCCGCGGGGCGATGCCGGCGCCGCGGCTACGAGCCGTCCTAGCGAAGCGGCCCCGCGGGCCTTGGGGCACAGCCCCGCCGTGGCGAGCAGCAGCAGCCTCGCCTCCATTTCCTAACAAGCTGCCGTATTGCCCTTCTTTGCAGCAGCGCTGTTGGGGGAGCAAAATTCTCATCTGGGTAGGCTGATTCTGAGAAATAAAATTAAATGCTCTGATAGACTCCAGCAGTCGCTGTGGACCTTCAGGCACAGCCCTAACCACAGAGTAAAACGCTTTAGGCCTCCAGAGTAAGCAGTCTGCAGGGGATGAGCAGGGTACACTAGTAATTTTCCATCCTCTGCTCTTTTTTTTCCCCCTTTTTGATTATTTGAAGTGGCGATGGCAACAACAAGCTGTTTTCAGACAATTAATGCTTCAAGCACACCAACAATTTTCCCCTTTTCCCTGCGTTCCTACGGAAATCAAGGTTATTCTTGTGCAAGGGTAAAACTGACCGTTAAAACCACGCAGGCTCTAGGGATGCCGAGGGGCTGCTCTCATCGGCTCCTCCTGCCTCCCCAGGTGGCCTTTTCCATCAGCTGGGCCCAGCTCCGAGCGCTGGGCTCGTCTGCAGGTCACTGATTCACCCTAATGTACTATTACCAAGTCCGGGTGCCGTTTCCCTGCAGCAATCCCCACAGGGCCCAGCCAGCAAGAAGGTTCTGGCACAGCCCGAGGTACCTGCACGCGATTTAACAGGCTGAAGAGATTCCACTGCTTTGCTGATGTTTCCATGGAAATCGCTTTGGACCGATTCTTCACTATTTTGAGTAACGAAAGCAAGTCTAGATACCGTAGCCCCTACTTGGCAGGCTCGCTGTCTGCAGCAGGAAGCCTGATTAGATACAACACTAATGGCATAGACATTTCTGATGCCAAAGTCTTCAAGCTTCCGAAACGGTACCTGGTTCTTGATGTGTAAAACCTGGACAACCTTCCCAGGAGATGCTTATTTAATTGCATCTTCCCTTTCAGACTTGCAGTATAGTCCTGTTTCTGTATTCACAGTAACTTCAATTAAATTCATTTAACCTATAAAACAGAGAAATCCAAGTCTAGTGACCTTAAAGGCAGTTTTGCCACTAATTTCTCCAAGGGCTAGATTTTACTGCTGAAATAATAATAGGAAATTGGATACTGAAGATAATTTCAGCAGGCTTTCAATAAACGCACCATTGATCTATTTTCCCCGAGACAAACAAAACTCGATCTGCTTCACAGACTCTTTTAGGACAATAATACTGATTTCCCTGCCATTTTCTTTCTTTCTGGCAGTCCAAAATGAGCTGGCCACTAAGGATATACTTCTATTATAAAATTTACTGTCACCATCATTTCAATTCAGAAAAGGCTAAAATACAGAGGCCTTTTTTTCATAGCGTATGCACTGATCAGTTACTTCAGGTGCTGTTTTACCCCTGATGTTTTCTATTATTTAACAGAAAATGCCACAGATTTATATGATATCAAATAAGCAGAGCGAGGCACCTTGTGCTTCCCAACAGAGTCGCGGGCCTGGGGAGCTGCAGTGCAATTCCTGCTGCTGATCCCTCCTCCCGACGCGGATCCCCACCAGGCTCCTCCTGGCAGCAGCCCCAAGGATCTGAAAGCTCCACGGCACCAGCTTTGGAGAGCGCCAACGGCTGCAGCAAGTGTTTTGAGAATTGGGTTTTGGACCTCTCATGCACAGCACAAGCAAGATACAAGCACAAGCAAGTCTTCTGTCGGAGCCCATTTATATTTGACTGAAAACAGGCAGATGCCCGCTGTTGAATATGCACTGTAAGCTGTAGGTAAGGCTCAGTCACAGGACCCCAAATACACGTATTCTGCTCAGATATTTTGTTAGCTGGTGACAAGAACCCTACAGGGGCACCCGTGTCTGAAATCAAATTGCTGGCAGCGTGTTTTGTTTTTTTGAAACCCAGCAGCCTTGGAAAATGACAACACTGGAGCTGCTCTACTTGGAGAGGTCTTTTGATGTTCCTTCCTCCTCCCCTCCTCCTTGTAAGAGAAAAGGAGGAAACAGGAGAATGAAATGTCCTGAATTTCTACTGTTGAAGCCAGCCTACCGAGAAGGCAACAGGAACTGATGCGAGGCACTTGGCTGTGATCACAGGCCGACAACAAACCTTCCTGCCAATTCACCTGAGCTCAAGGACACACGCGAGGAGCTCTCCAACAGGTTGGCTTTGTCTCTCGAAGGTGGGTCTAAAGCTACAAGAAACCTGACTGGGAACAAACCGTCACCCTCACTGTCACCTGACCCTCCAGCCTTCCCGAAAGCACCATGAACTCTCGGGAAATGTGCATTTTTCATACAACCAACCAGAGGATGTTGCAGCAATGAAAAAAAATCTAAGCATTTTTTCCTATAAGTAGAAATATATTCTACTTGATATGGACATCGAATAATCCTCTATGCTACACAATTGTGCATTGGTCTTTTCAACATCAGTACGCTTATAAAATATGCACAAATGAGCACACACACACACACAGCACTCCATACCCAAATTCCACGGCAAGCGTGAGGATGCGAGAGGCCCCTGAGGCGTCACCGGGCGCACGGGGCTCCCTGCGGCGCGCGGTGCTGCTGCGGCCCCCCTGCCAGCGCGCCCGCTCTGCCCGCTCCACCCAGAGGTATTTCCACAGCTGAACGCAAGAGCTTTGCAATGGTTCAGACTATTTCCATGGGAGAACACCACTGTGCCTCGCGAGACTCGCATAGCTTACATTTAACTATTTGCTCTGATCCCAGATCTACAGTAGCTCGATTAAAATCCAAAAACATCCCCTTTTCACAGAATCAATATGCAAAGGCACTGAATTAAGAACATAGGAGCAATTAGCCTAATACCACAGCACCCCAGGAACACCATTCTGCAGGATTCAGAGACATGCTTCTAGCTCTTATTCACGTGAGGAGCCCCAAACATCACCCGCTTCTCGGCATGCTTAACAGCCATGAGCTGCAGCTGTGCTGCACTGAAAATTGGCACTGCTGACATGAAACTGAAGGAGCTTGTTGGAGTAATGACAAAGGCACTGATTGCTTTCTTCCTGAAGCAAGGAGATTTTTGCCTTTTTTTTTTTTTTTTTTTTTAAACATAGAAAACTGGAGACTGGTACTAGAGCAGGGAGGTTGCCCATGACCCACGTCACGGACCCAGCCCCTGATGCACAAGAGGTGCTCACACATCCTCAGTCCTGCCTTCCTCCCTCCCAAAGGCTGCATCCTCTCTTTCAGCACATTCCCGCTCGCGTTTCCCTCCACTAAATTCAGTATTTCAGAAGGGCACCGTACGCATCCAGGATGCCGGGAGCAGCCACGCAGCCGGCGAGCTCGTGCGGTTGCCTCGTAGCTGCTCACACAGCAGCAAGTGCGGAGGAGATTTCCACGTCCCATCGCCACAAAGTGCTGCCACAGCAGCACCAACCAGGCCATCGTGGTACTGGGTGTGTACAGAGCACTTTCTCCTCAGCTGAGACAAATTCAGCAATGAAAAATATACTAGAGACTGCTTCCTGGAACTCTGCCTCTTACCATAATTGTGTCTTAAGTGAGCTTAGAAATTCCCAAAGAGCTCAGTGATGAGATAGATTGCTAAGCATCCTTTTTAGAGCTGCATTACCTGCCTGTCCTCAGCAGTGAGCTGGCATTACACAAAGAGTGATACATTAAGCAACAATGCGAATAGAGAGATCATCTCAGTTAGCTTGCCAGCTTCTTATTGTATATTTTGGGGGAACTTCTAATGCAAACATATTTAAAAGAAGGGGAAAAAAAAAACCAAGAGCAGCAACAACTCACTCTGCTTATTTTTGGTTACAAAATATATATACCTGTGCATTTTGATGGGGATCCCAGATTCGATACCTTTTCCTCACTCTGCTGCACAGTGCGAGCTCTAGCACCTGGGTGAAGGCGCTGAAGCCAAGTGCTGCCAGGTCCTTCACTGAGAGAGGGTAAAAGTGGCTCCTTCCGTGGAGTGGAAATGCCACGGGGTGAGCTTAAAGAAACAGCTCATTGCTATAGATATTGCACCCTTCATATGGAAAGGTTATTCCACCTAGACTTCTAAGAACTGGAAAAATACCCATTGAGCCTCGAATTTTAGAACATTTCATAGTGCCTTTTGGAGAGGAAAAAGGTCTCTGCTAACAGCATCTCCTCTATGATTCCAGAATGTAAAGAGCTGCTGTTTACTTTGCAATAACGCAACACTTCTCTCACTTACGTCCCTTGAGGAAAATAATGCTTCCTCCTAACCACGGTGGTGCTGGACATGGCAAATCTAGCTCCTGAATGGCCAGCACTGAGGTATATGTCGGACACCTCATCATCCCAATTTTAGGTGAAATTCTTACAAATAACCAGAAGTAAAACCACACATACACACACACACACACACATATATAAATACACAAACACTCCATGCAAACTGCAGTGCATTTGAACTCAAAAGAATGGTGTTCCTGTTGTCCTGTTGAAGTATGCATTTTTCACCCTCTTTAAGAAAATGAAATGGAGATTTCACTGCTACCAGAATCCTATTAGGCATATTTATACATGCCGTAAAATATTAATGGTGTAGCGTGTCTGGTAAGTTACTTAGTTCAATTAATTCAACAGGAAAATAGGAAAGAATGTTTTAAATTATTTAAAGCTCCTTTTTATCATCAGCAACATCCAATTGCAAAACATGGATATTACAAGCACTATCAACATGTGAAGTACACATAGTCAGACTTCAACATCGCACAGTTTAGCAATGCCAAGATTAAAAGACATGCGAACTTCATCATTTGATATTTGGACTAGTCCTTATTTCATTTTGTATGAAAGAGGTTGCTTGTTCTCACTAACACTATGTTCTATCAGCATGCTCATAGAATGGTGAAAAACATGTACGTACCAAAATATAAGTCCACGGGGACTGCTAAGTGCAACAATCAAAGGTGACTTCTGCCTCTAAAAGCCCTTTCCTGTGGTTATCTCAGTGCAGTCGGAAGGGATATTTCAGCACCATAAGAAACAGATTTGCAGTTAGGCTCAGTTTTTTTCCTCTTCAGTTAAAGTGCATTAAATCTTGTTGGCAAAATTGCCCCGATTGTAGAATTCAGCATCACTAGACGTCCGTGTGTTCCGTTACATATCTTCTGAACATATGATCACAACGGCGTGTAAAGTTTGGCTTTTAAGAACGCAGTGGCAAGAGAAGACAGGTGCTTCCTTAAATCCACACTCAGAGGGGAGAGGGCGCAGACAACGGGCGGGCACAAATGACCCCCTGCTTCCCAGTCCAACACAGGAGAAGCCGGGTGATTTTTCCCCACTTCACGACCCAGCAGCCGCGAGCAGCAGCACACGCGCTAGCGCAGCGGTCGCTGCGGTGCCTCATTTGAACGTGCTCTGCGGAGACAAAAAGACAGGGCCGCGAGGAAGAGCGAGGAAGTCGCCGCGCGCGGAGGCTCCCGGCGGCGGCGGGGACGCGCGGCCGCTCTCGCCCGGCCGCAGGCCCCGCACACAAAGGGCAGCACCTACCTCGGGGCGCGCGCGGGGCTGCGCTGCGGCTGCCGCCCGGCCGCGCGCGCCGCCCGCATCCCAGCACCGCGGACAGCGCCGGCCTCCACCGGCCTCCACCGGCCTCGCGCGGCTCGCGGCGGCGCCGACGGCTGCTCAGCGAGCGACGCGGCGGGAGGAGAGCAGGATCTGCGGCGACGACGCTGCACAGCGCATCGGTCTGGAGGCTGCGGAGGATGCGGAACGACAGGCTCTTCTCCCCACCTTCTGCCTTCCTGAAAGGGGAATCGCTCTTCCGCGGAGAACGGGCGGGTTAACCTTTAGCCCATGTTATGGCTCAAGGAAACGAGCAACCACTTAAAAGGAAGAGCGGAGCCTCAGCCCCATACCTCACATTGCTGCATCTTTCACGCTCCCCCCGCCGGAGCGCCGAGCCAGGCACAATTCCTGCTGACGCAGAGCGGGTGCTGCTCGGAGGGAGGGGAGGAGCTTTTTAACCTCATCAAAACAACCTCCCACCACCTGCTCCCGCTGCCGGAGCAGGGAACAGCACCGCTCAGCACCGTGTCCACAGCATTCCTGCCAGGAAAGGCGCTCCGGAAGCCACCATGCTGCTCGGGGAGCACCAGCAGGAACACCCTCAATTTGCACCCTGGGCGCTTTAGAGGAAACATTTGTGCTTTTCTGACCAGATCCATGTGTTTTACTGCTCCTCCTTTCAGATGGTTCTGCTTCCTTCCCCCCAAGCCTGCTGCCTGGACACAAAGCCCAAGCTGCCCCTGCGACAGGCAGTGCAGGGGGATGCCCAAACATGCAGAAAACCATTACCCTGGCGTTAAACACCACCACGCTCTTCCTCCCCACTTAAGTCACAGGCATTTTCTAACTTGCACAAATTTTGATTCTAATATTGAAATCAAAGATGAACGTATTTCTGAGGCTACTCTCAGAATTCAAGCTCATAGAATAAGTTCTTTAGGAGTCAACACATTTCCATATACAAAGCTGTGCTAATATGTGAATAAGCAGTCACATATAGAGCACCAAAGCAAAAGATTCTGCATGTTTACTACCTTGCAAACACTTCAAATTTGGTCTTCACCAAAGTAAATAAATAAATTGGTGGAAACCATGGCCAGCAGAGGCTGCAGGGCCCAGCAAGGGCCTAACTGCCCGTTTAGTGGCTGAGAAAGATGGTCTGGCTCCCCCTCAGGTGAGGGAGCTTGAGGACAGACCCATTCCAGCGCTAGTGACTCAGTAGCTGCTAGCAAGACCAGGCTGCTCGGAGAGGGACTGGAGGAAGCTGCAAAGAGAGAGACCAGCAGCGCTGCTGGGTCTGAACCAGGCAGCCACCTTCATGTGAGCACTCATGAGTGCCAAAAAGGACAAGTTTCTTCCCTTGAGAATTCTTGATATTCAAACTGAGTTCAAATACTTGAATTGTGTATTCACCCGGAATAACCTGGGAGTTATTCCAAGGAATTGGGTATCTCCAGCTCCTGCTAGAAACCTGCACCATTCAAGAACTTTCTCTTTCTAACCTCCAGACTACAGATGAAGAAATCCATGAATGGAGAGCTGCATAACAGGGAGCAATCAAAACAATAACAACTCAGATAAAAAAAGCATTAAAACAGGATTAAAACCATATGGATGCATCATAAATGGAGGATTAAACAAACTTTCCAGTAGCTCTTGGCACCTGGCCAAGGCCTGCAGCCCCCCACCAACACACACGTCTCCCACCAGCCCCAGCATCGCGGCGCACGGCGGCCGCTCCGTCCTCCTGGCACGGACACACTGGGCAAACACATGGACAGAACCCGCACCTGTACGAGGGAAAGTGCTGCTACTGAAACAGCTGCGTGGATTTCTGTTTGGATCATATGTAGATTTTTATTTGGATTACAAGTGAGTTAATATTTAAAAAGACCAATAGGTTGGAGGAAAGCATATTGAAAACAAATAGAGCTTCTGATATATTACGCCACCTTTCCTTATTTAACCGTGACAAAAATAAGGAAACTTTTAGATGAGAAAACCCAAGTATGGCATCACACAAGGAAGAGGAGGTTTTACTGAACAATAAAGAAATAAGATGTAGAAATGTCTCCGTGCATGATTATTAACAGGCGCATTGATCACGTCACCACCGTAAGCAGCCAAACTAATACATGCAGAAATGAATGCAGTGCTCACCAAAACACTTTGATTCAAAGGGGCTTTCCAAGGTTCAGCTTGTCCACGCTGTTTGTATCTATCCATGACCATGTTTAGCCACGGGAAGCGGCAGGAGCACCCGCTCTGCGTGCCCAACATCCCGCAGGACTGGCCGCAGAGCGGGAGGCCGCCACACGGCTCTTGCCCAGGCTCCCGCTCCCTGGGGGCTTCCCCGCTTGACAGGATCCCGGGATTGCTGTGGGATCTCTGCTGTGGTGCCCAGCTCCATCTGCCACCCATGGGTGCCCACAGGTGCAAGGTGGGAGCAGGGGGAGCCCTCCCTGCACCCCGGCCGCCTTGGCAGCCCTGCCGGCTATCGCGGTGCCCCCCGCCAGCAGCAGCCTCGCACTCCACTGTCACTCCGCCTTTACAGCAAGCCTCCTGTTTTCCCCCCGCCGAGAGCAAATTTTCTCACATGGGACCAATTCTGCTGTTGTTGCTCAGGCAAAATTCCCACCAAAGCCCGCGAGGAGCTTTGCCCGAACGCAGCACGCAGGCGCTGATCTGCACAGACCACAAATCACAAAGACCACGACCCCGCCAAGGGATGTGTCCTATGGGACAGCTCACACAACGGGGATACTCTTAACCACGACTTGTTGCAGAGTATTTCATGATACTTACCACAAGGGAAAAAAAAAGTCAATTGTATCTTTTCCCTTAAACTAGATTAGGGTGAGAGTGGCTGCTTTACAAACCCGTTAATTATCAAATGGTAAATATTCTGAGGAAAAGTTAAGCTATAAGTAGTTCTTCCAGAGCCCGTTAGCTCCTGGCTAAACTCAATGAAAGCTGGTAAAGGTACATTTCTATGGACAGGTCTTGACCACAGCCATGGCTATTGACAGATGCAGAAACGTTGCCAAAGCCCTCAGCACCGCTGCAGTCGAGCCTGGGCCGAATGGCCTCGAGAGGAACCTTCCCCCTGGAGACCCCAAATTCCCCACCCATTCCCACTAATTTACCTTCCCCTCTATCCCCAGCCCTGGAGAGCAGTCAGTCCTGTCCAGGCATGGTTAAAGGCTGCAAAGACTCAGGCCAGAAACTGTATTTTCTATTGAAGGACAAAACCGGCAACTGCCTCAACTAGCTAAATAATTGAGCGCTTTGCTGAGACAGTATTTAAAAGTAAATTGCTGCTTCTGGCTAAATTCTCTTATTAATGCATTAGATTTATAAAGAAATTAAAACCGTGGCTATTTATTTGTTCAGTCAAATTTACTTAGTCTTTACTGGAAAGCTAATCTATATTTACAAAACCCGTTTGCTTATAGAAGTATTTAATAAAAATCCAGAGGAAATTTTTGCTACGTGCTTCAGGACTGGACAGGAGGGCAAGTGAGGGCTGCAAGGAAAAGCTGTTGCATCCCAGCATGGATAGCGTAGGTGAACAGAGGAGAAGCAGCAGCTTCTTCCCTTTTACATTCAGAAAAATACCAAGAAAATGGTTGGAGTTCACAGCAACACACTGAAGTCATAGCAAGCATTTTGGTCAAAAAGAGCCATTTCTCCCCCCACAGATGCCCAAGTTCCTCTAATTACTATGGAAACAATGGTTTCCTACAGGCATTCCCCATATAAACTGTTAAAGTCTCTTTTTTTTTGCAGCTCTAGCTGGCTAATCATACACCAGTTAACATATTCCCGCTCCCCTCCCAGCTTATTTTCTTGGGGAAAATGTTGTGATCCTTTATCTCCCCTCACTGTAATAGCCATTCCTATCAACGGGTATGCTGAAATTGCCACCACTCAGGAAGAAAGGAATGCAAATGAGAAATACCAATTAACCTCTTTACAATTAAAAATATCTCTATCTATTATAGCCCCCATTAGTGATACTCTAGCTAATGGTCTGTCAACATTTCCATTAGACCTTTTCCCCTTGCTCCCACACAGGCCTAAATCCCAGCTAATCACCTTGAATGCACCTCTGCGCTGCAGGGCTCGCACAACACATACCCACTTGTCAAGTGAGGCAAAACACAGATTCTGCTATTCTGCACTATTATACCTGCCTAAGCACCTGTTTTCTAATGCATCATTCTAAATACTCTATGCAAAATTTTGCAGGGTGTTATTTTTCCCCCCACTCATTGTTACAATTATTTAATGCAGAAAAAACCCACAGGCAATTGCAAAGATTTGCACTAAATATCTTTTGACCAGTAGACTTCAGCTGATGCCATCCCCTTTAATACGATGTGAGATAGCAGGTTACATTTG